CAAGAAGTTAAGGAATATTTCAAAAATTCACCTACGTGGATCAAAATATCACCATAACTGATCGTTTCAAATGTTTCAGCTGGATATCCACCAAAATTGAATAGCACTGTATGTGAAACATGCTCCAGAAATTCGATAATTAGACCAGCTACTGCTGCAAAATTCACTTAAAATTTTTCTTGACTGCTTGAATTGATATGCATGTATATTTGTACTAATTCTCTAATAGAAGCCGACATTTTTCATTCCTTTCAGCTGTATCGCTGTTCTCTGTTTTCAAACCCAAATTCCTAGAATTTCAAGCATGTCCGAGTATTTCCCGCGTCATAGAGCGCTCATAACAAGAAAACCCCAGCGCTACTCCATTTTCGCATGTTTACAAGGGATTATATGGTGAATTAAAAAAAATAAGAATTGCGCTGGGCATGTGATAAGAGGAGAGACAAAATAGATGGATAAAACGGATAACCGAATACTGAACAACATAATGTTTAATGACATGAGTAAAGCTACTAATGCTATGGAAGGATTCGCTTAAATAGGTTAGGTGAATGACACAGTACCAAAACAGACGGGAATGTTAGCTTTTTATAAAAAAATTAGATATTAAAACGTTCCCTTTTTTCTCCCCTCTTATCTTCTCCTTCACCCCATCTCACTCCCGCAAATCCCACAATAACAACGTTTCCCTTTCTTTCCTTCCTACCTTTCTCTTCCTTCTCCATTAAGCACTGCGACCGTCATACCGACAAGTTCTGGTCGCGTATTGATTTAACACGTATGCGACTTACTGGACCGAAACGTCTCATCTCACTTTCACCTTCTTTTCTCATACTGTTCTTTCTTTCTGTATTCTATCGCGCCATCGCCACCCAGGCTTCTGGGGTCAAATTAAATGCTACAATCGGGTTACCAGACGCTTCGGTGGAACATTTCAAAATGGACATCACTTCCCGAACAACCTGATACTTCACCGTCCTACTGTGTTGCACTTGTGTTTTACAATTTCATCCTAACTTTTTCGGGTGATCAAATCCCCTGAGTTTCAAATTTTCGGATTTTATTTTCAAATCAAATTTTACCCTTTCGTCCATCGAAAGCTTTCCGCCCAATTGTTATCACTTGTACATTCTTGGCACTCTTTCCAGCCAACATTTATGGTTATTTCCCTTTCACATTCCAAACTTGTACTCACATCGAATGGTCAGAAAAATGCGCGAGACAAGTGTGAATTCGTTAGAAGGATATCTGTTTCATCTTCCTGCACAAGTGGAAGCCTCAAAACTCACCTTGAAATGAAAAAAGTGTACAACAGAAAATGCAAAATTCATACACAAAAATGGACAACGGATGAGAAAGCAACAGAATGAGTCCTGAATATCAAAAAAAACCGGCCAAGTTCCAGAGGTGCAGACGCTACTAATTATAAATATATATTAACTGAATAAGTTTTCCAATATAAGTAGTAAGATCACAGCAACTGGAGGAAAAAGTACCTAAATCTTTGCTGAGAAGTAACAGCCCTATAACAGCCCTAAAGTTTCGTGGTAAATCAGGCGCCACTAGGAGTTGCAATTTTTTAGATCAATTGTTGATGCTCCGGGCAAAACAAGAACATCTGGCTGGCTGAAGCCCTAGAAACTAGCAGAAGAAACACATCCCTGCTCAATAACAGTCCCAAATTCTCGCCGTAGGTCTGGGAGCCTCCAGGAATGGCAATTTTTTGGGTGAATTTTAATGCTCAATGCATTACAAACAAGAACATTTCCGGTTCGAAAAATCGTTAACCTGGCCAGCTCCATCTCCAGCACTGCAAAGTAATTTGTGCCACACCGGTTGCCAGAGTAACAGGAAAAGTTGTCAGCTGTATGAATGGAAAGATTTTTCTAGCGCTCAACTGGAATATCGCGGATCAACAAATAACAGATCTGGGATGTATCAAATCAATCCAAACTGTCACTCGCCGCTCACATTTATCTACGTTTCTAAGTCCAATTTCTACCAGTTCTTATGATGCAGGAACTCAATTTTGCATCGGCACTTTTTGTAAAGGACTTTATCAATCTTGACATTGTTGCAGTATGGCTTCTGAACAGTTTTGGGGAAAAAAAAATTTATTTCGTAATCTTTAATAAACGACAAACTAAGAAAACAGTGTTGTAAGAAGTTAAACGGACTAAGAACGAACAAAGATAAATAACAACTGCACGTCAGCACGCATAATGCGCCAATTACCAACAATACAATATCAGATGGGAAAAACTTGGCGGTCCAGGAGGGAGTTAAAAGATTACTAAGTTCCAGGTAAAAGCACGCATGGAAAATCTAAATATTCCAGAAACATCCTGGAATTTTCCAAAAAAAATTATTCTTTTTCTTAAAAAAAGAGCAAAAGTGTTTCCAAAAGATGAACCTAGCGGCCAAAATAATCTAATACACGATTTGTGAGATAACAGGCAACGTACTTATTCCCAACAGAACGAAAACTTCAAATTTTCGTGAAAAAAATTAGAAGTCCCAAAAAATCTTTCAAGATCTCTCAATCAGCTCCCACTGCTCAATAAATCATAATTATTAATTGCAAGAAAAAAATGGGCTGGAAAAAAGCGCTTAACATTTTGCTGGTACTTAAAAGATGTTCAAGAAATTGGTACACAAAAAAATGAAAATAATGAGAATCATTGCGAAAGGATTTTTGCCAAAAATCCGGATTTCTAAAATGAGCTCATATTAACATCGGCCGAAAAGTCATCGCCGCCAAACTCTCGTTTTGATGCAGGACCCCCGGCACCATCTCCAGGTCTTTTAGCTCCTCTGGGTGCTGTTCCGCCACGGCCACCTCGTCCGCTGGTACCACGGCCTCGGCCTGCCGAACCTCGGGGTAAAAAACCAGCTCCCTGAAAATGTAACTGTTAGATAGTGAGTAACAACTGTTCGCATCTTCGGAGTCTTCTTGAAACCTTTATAAAAAATGAGACGAATAATGCTAGTCGTCTGAGATAGACCGGCGCACGCCTAGCATATATGAGCGTACGAAAAGTGCTGCAAATCTCCTGCAGCGAAAAAGTCAAAAGTGAAGAACCCCTCCATATCCAATCTTCACGAGAAGCAAAAGCATTCCGCCGAAGCTCGAGCTGTAGTAACAAGCGCCAGCAGCAATCACCTGAGAGCAAGGCTTCGATATCTTCCTCTCTCGAAGGTGGCAAGCAAACTGGTGGTGGATTTTAATCCCAGCTACATGTCAGTGCCAATTTACCATCGAAACGAATAAATGATTTACAGACAGATTGCCTGTCCCATCGGTGGAGGCAAACTTTCGACCTTCAGTACGAAAAATGCGTTAAATGACAGTAACCAGAAGTGAGCAGGTGACGAATTTTGTTGTTGAGATCCCATCCAACAGCCTACATATTGACAACCATGGGAAACCTTGTTAGCAAATGGCTGCTCACGACACACGTTACCGCTCGGACTACTTTCTGAGCATAATCATCTCTCGCAAAGAATGAGAAACAAAGGAATTTTCGACTTTTTTGACAAAATTTGTCAACATCCTCATCATCATCAAAAAACATGCCGGCATGCCACCTCGACCTCCACGCATTGGCGGCGCACCATAACCATAACCATATGGATCTGGACCAAAACCGTACGGATCATAGCCATAACCATAGCCAGCTGGAGGTGCTGCATAACCATACATATCTTCATAACCAGCTACAACAAACAAATTCATTCGGCGGGGAAACAGAAAAAGTGTGCCAAGAG